ACACACACACACACACACACACACACAAACCTTCGCTGAGTTTCCTATCTTTGAGCCACTGACTCAGTCAAAAACGCAGCCTGAATACAAATGCCTTGGCCTTTTTTCACTTACACTTAGCTTCTCACTGGCTCAGGAAAAAGTGTGTGTGTATTCTACTTTTCTTAGGTCATTTTACCAACAGTCCCCTAAATCAAAGGTGTGCCAGGCAATAATGTCACTGAACATTAGACTCTGTTGCCTCTGGTCCCATTAATCCCTTACCATTTTCTTCCTTCATGCTTAGGACTTCCATATTAGCTCTAAGTCTCAGCTTTGCACAAACTTGTTCCATCTTCTCAAAGCAATATAAAAGGGATATTCCCATTTCATACTTACATCAGTTTTAAAAGCCCTATTTTTATGTTACTTCTGTTTTCAGCCTTCCAACGCTTCAGAGATTTTTTTCTTTTTTAATTAGATTAGAATATGTTAAGAAATTTAAAATCAACAAATTATGATACTCATTTTTAAAAAAATCAATATTCATTCAATGTATTATCTGACCAATATATTAATTCTCCCACCTTGTTTTTCCCCTTCCCCACTATCAGCATTATACACTTTTTCCCCATATTCAGGTCTTACAATGCTTTTTCACAATTGCTTTCCCCATTAACCCATCAACTTCCTATATATCACGTATCATGTATCAATCTACAGCTCTAAAACTACCTGGCCCTTGGCTTAAATGCCCTCTGTAAGAATCAGTTCCTGCATACACCAGAATCTCTATTACCAGCCTCCAAGTTGAAAAAAGCCAAAAAATGGGAAAAGCGTCCCTGACTATCAGTTCCATCTGCTGCTCTAACAGGAGCTGTGAATCCAGAATCACTCCAAAACCACAGACCTGCTGATTTAGGAAGAGTGCAACTCCTTCAGCATCAAAGTTGGAACCAATAGTGAGGCAGAATGATCACTGAAATATGGTAACTTGATCCTCAAGGGATTCAATCTGAGCTTGTTTTGAGCTCCATGCCCCACAGCCTCAAAGGACCAAGATAGACTTGAATGGCACCCCCAGTCTGGTCTAATGATACTTCAGCCCAACTTGATGGATTATCTCCCCCAGCAGCTTCATGTACATATTGCATAACATGGGGGAGAGGACCAAGTCCTATGGAACCCCACGTTGGAGCAAACATTAACATGATTACTCTTTCCGATGCATACCAACTGGAAATTTGGAAGGAGTGGGACCATTTTAAGTCCCAACCCTCACAGCAAGTTGATGGCATTGAACACCACCTAGACTTCCAATAGAACCAGGAGGGGTACACACCTTCCATTTAGATCATAATACAGGTCATCTTAATACAAAGGTGACCAGTGATGTATCCCTCTCATGCCCAGGTCTGAATGTTTACTCAAGAGAGTAATACAATCTATTTCCTCTAGGACCCTCCTTAGCTGACATGAACAATTTTCTTCTCCAAAACACAAGATTGGCAATTGGCTGATAGTTGTCAGAAATAGCTGGACTGAGAGATGGTCTCTTTAGAAGTGGGCATACCATACCACCTCCTCTTTCAAGGCAGCCTGCACTAACCCCTCCCTTAAAGAGACATTAACCCACTCCTAAATCCAGTCAAATATGACCTGCCCAGACATACAAACAAGTCATATGGGCCATGTATCAAGCCTACCAGTGACATAGTTCATGCCATAGAGGGCTCTGTCTGCTTCCTCAGTTTCTACAAGCTCAAAACAATCCCAGACGATCTTAAAAGACCTTACTGAAGTCATCTTGCCAGACATTCCCATTTCACACTCACTCAGATGCTGATAACAAGCTCCCAAAAGCATTTGCAAACTGCAGTTGGTGAGGATAACACAAAGGCAAACTATGTTGGGTTTTGGGGGATTGGAAATATATTGCAAATTGTACAGATTGTGGTATGGTAAGGCTTAGTATGAACAGTGCCTCAAAACCACCATTCTCATTAAACTGGTTGCTTTGCAAGCAAAGTTCACATGCTTCTGATTCTGTTTTTAACTTTCAAGCCATGCATCTGTCTTTTCCTCCCTAAGAAACACATCTTTGATAAATTTGCTGAATAAAGGATTGTTCTTTGATTGGTTGAGTTTGTCAGGAGTAACTGGGGACAATCAATTTCTGCCCCACCCATTAACATCAACCTTTTTTTTTTTTTAATGAGGGGGGGAAACTTTCTCATAGAGCTCCAACTGTAAAAGTACTAGCACTGTTTCTCAGTTTCAAAGCACACTTGAAAAGCAGTACTTGCTTTTTTGACAACCAAAAGAGCACAACTAAAAACCAGCACATACAGCAGCATTCATACAGGAACAACTGTAAACATAGACCACGGAGGAAGAAAGAAACCTATAAAGTTACTAATTTTGCTTAAAAAAGTATCTAGCAAAGGGGTGAGCAAGACACATGACGGAGAAGTAAATGCACATATAAAGAGAGAAGATGGTAAGTCTTCTGCAGATGGAGAAAAATGAATAAAGGTAAAAATCCTGAACACAAAATCTTAAGGCTCTATATTGGATAAAAAGAACAACTAATTTCAGGAGGAAAGAACTTAGGTAAGTAAAAGTATTGTTTGAAAATCATCACAAACAGAAAGCTGGATTTCAATAAGATGGTAAAATTGTAGTCACTTCTATCTTGAGACAAAGAAATGTATTCTAAAAAACAATTAAGAAGGTAAATTGGTAGCTTTTAAGAATATAAGAATTTGATTTTTTTATATTAAATTTAAAATATTTTAAAGTACATTAGCAGCCATGATTAATTTAGAGATATAACATGTTCCCTTTCATTGCCTAGATTTAAACTCATGTCAGAATGAGTGGAGGAATAATTCTTTCTGAGTTGGGAAGCAATTTTGGGCCAATACAAGAATGAGCACAAGCAGTGCTTTAACTTTATATGTATTAACTTCATCTTTAACTCATTTATGCTCCTTTTGTTAGTCAACACTAGTCATCTTCACTTGGAAGGTATTTTCAGAATTATAGTTTCAACACATTTGAGGGGCAAAGGAGGTTGTGAAAGCTTGAATGTATTCTCCTGTTTATATAACCACAGAAATCTATAATAATTGGCTGTTATAATAACAGCCAATAATAATATAGCCTTATAATAACCCTTTGCTGTTGTGGAAATGGGTTACTGCTATTGAATTTTAGAGGGGAGGGGGAGTTTTATTTTCATGAGGAAGAGTTTTATAGAATGTTGCTTTTAGCTCCTTCCAGAGTATTGAAATTGACAGTGCAGTCCTATACATTTTTGTTCAGGAGCCAGTTCCAGTTGCTCAGGAGTTTGGAAAAGACTGCAGTTTTCTGCCTCCTGATTTGAGGCTTACATCTGACTAATAATGTAGAGAGGTGT